GCATACAATAAATAAATAAATAAATAAATAAATAAATAAATAAATAAATAAATAAATCAACAGTGTGATTTCAGCTTTCATGCAATAAATACACACTTCCTGCTTACATTCCTGAATAATGTTAGTGTTTGTGTGGATTGTGGGAAAAACATTGTCTTCGTGACACCTTCATGAGATGAAGTTGAAAATAGGTGTGGCTCAGCTAACGGACAAAAGAAGCCCGAGGCCTCTTTTCAGTTTCCACTACAAATCTTCATTCTTTGTCCTTTGTGGTGAATCTGTTAAAAACATTTCTTATGAAGGGTGTATTTCATTTGTTGACACAACAGTTTGTCTATGAAAAAGTTTATTATTTCTCTGATAAATTTAATTTATTTAATTGTCATCATATTTAATAAAGCTGTAGAGCTAATTTTCACTGAACAGGGACAGTTTGCATGGTTGCTAAGACTTAAACCTTAAAGCTCACTATTTGCATGAAAGCTTGTTTGAAATTAATTATGGCATAATTCAAAAAATGTCTGTAAGTTTTGCACATGTGATTATATAGTGTAATCGTCATTAATACATAATAATCTATAATTATATAGATTAAAATGCACGTATACTGTAATAAATTGATTATGCATGTGCAGCTTATTAGATGACCTTTCAAGCATTTTATGTTTGAGTAAATTCCCAGCATAAGTTAACAATATTTAAAAACATAGGAGGTAGAATGGGTTGTAAAGAGACGAGGAGCAGGGTTACTGAGGGCTTTGATGAGGAGGTGAGGAGCAGGATTTTATAGGATTTTATAGTTTATGACAGGTGGAAGGGGGCAAGCAGCTGAGTTTTGGACCGGTTGGAGTTTATGGATGGATTTTGCAGGTAAACTGAAAAGAAAGGAGTTACAATAATCAAAACGCGATGTGACTAAAGAGGGAACCAGAACAACCAAACTGCTGGATGAGAGGGATGGAGACGAGCGATGTTACAGAGGGCTGAATGAGATTTAAATGATAACGTGTTGTTCAGAATGACGCAGACTCTTAACCCTGGGGGGATGGACAAACTGAGATGCTGTCGTTGAGAATAGAAAGGTTACTGTTTTTTGCAACAGTGGATTTAGTTCCAATGAAGATAAATTTGTTTTGTTGCTGTTTAGTTTGAGTAAGTTGCCGTCGAACCTTTGTGATTTAGATTTCAAGAATATCATTAAATCACTGTAGTCAGGATGGTTGATCAGTGCTTCCAGTGAAGAAACACTGAAAACAACTCTTCAGAAGTGAATGAGGTGTTTAGTAATAATTACTCTACCGTCCATAATCACTCTGCTGCAGGAGAACACTGGTGAACCATAAGCCTGTCTGCTCCTGCTGTGATTAAATGCTGCCCTCTAGTGAAACCTTTTTACTTAACATGTTTGACATGAACAAACTGATCAAGTATATCTGACCCACAACCCACAACAACCCACTGCTTTATTCTAACTTTAACCCCTCAACAAACCCAGAATAGACACACAGAAAAAAGGGATCTAATGGTGATGTTTCAGATCCTTTGCTGAGGATGTTTATTAAAATTCTAATAAACCTGAAGATGCTGCTTACTTAAAAAAAGGTAATAGTTTTAACAGTGTTGATGTTTGAACTCTTGGACGAGACCCTGATTAACACCCATCAGTTTGTGTCGTGCCTTTGATCCCCTTTTCTGAACTGTTTCAGTCGTTTGACTAATTCAGAGGGAAAAATCAGGATACCAAAACAAACAAAAAAAAAATCTTATCTTCACTTGTGCCTTCTAAGTAGCCAAACGCACACAAAAAAACAAACAAAAACATTAAAAAAAAACCTACAGAAAATCAGCAGATCTACTAGTTTAGTTTATTAACATTTATAATTTCTTTAAAAATAAAAAATAATGTCTATGTTCAATAAAAAATACAAATCACAAATAAAATGAAAGGCCATGGAAAGAAGAAAAAAATATTCTATCTGCCCCTTTTTCCCAAAAAATAAATTCAAACAATAATAAAAACAAAACAAAAACATCAAATCCTTGTCGGACAGCAATTCATATGGATAGATAGACTTTGTTATCTCAGACTAAATAATTGCCCATATCATTAAAAAATAATAAAATAAAACAAAACATCAAGAGAAAGTGAATAAAAAGACATACACATTATACTATTACATATTTCTCTAACAAACTGACTTTTGTCATACTAGAACAGTTTTAAGTGGAAATGATCTGTAATGTCCTGATCACAAATTATATGCACAAAGTATTGGTTTAGCTGAAAGTTAGTGTAAACTTTAACTTTATTAAGACATTAATTTATCACAAACTTGTTGGTGTTTGCTCTGAAAAACCTTTTATTATTATTATTATTATTATTATTATTATTATTATTTCTGTAGGACAGTGATGGCATTTGGGGGAAAGGTGAAAAGCTCGCCCTCTGGAGGTTTCACAACAGAAACATCATTTAAAGTTTAAACAGGTCACAAAGTTGGACTTTTAGATAAATCTTTATTTGTCCCTCCCAAAGGGGATATCCACAATTCTTTACAAAACCAAACTGGCCTTTTGACATATTTTAACAGATTTTAAACAGTGTTTATGAATTTTACTTGTATTTCTGCAAAACTTTCAAAATATAAAAAGGTCACAATGAAATAAAAAAAGTAGAAAGAAAACATGAATACATGAATACATGACACAAGTAGAAAATAAAATATGCAGCACGTCTGTGACTAAATCCAGTTAAACTTCAGGATCACGTCTCTGGATTTATAAAGTTGACATCATCATTTTCCACAAACATTTCTCCCAGTTCTGTCCTGAGGTGGATCAGGGGATTAAAAAAGGTAAAATCAAAAAAAGAATTCTCTTTTTGTTCTGAAACATTTCACAGTTGGCACAATCAGATGATCCATTCGCATCAATTAAAAAAATTCAAATAAAATCAAATAAAAACAGTTTGGTTTTCATTTAAATGACAACACTGTACATGCAGTAGAATCCAGTGGTTCAGGTCGTGTGAAATATACAGAATGAACACATTTCTGGTTTAACTTCTTTGTGTTTTCTTAGAACTACAAATGCAACAAACGTTCTTTCACAAGAAGCTATATAATTTTACTCTCACTCCCTGTGAAGAGATTACGTTGTTTTATTTTTTTTTCCCACAGCTCTGGTTTCGATGTTCTTGCATTTTGTTCTCAACACATCATCTGAGCAGAACGTTTTATTTCTCGGTGGTGTCCGAGAGGTTTTGTGGGATTTATCACCTAAAGTGGGCTTGTGGATTTTAAGAGAACATGTTTCCCATTTCCCCCACTAATGAAGTTTATACAAGGAAAGGTTTTAAAGGAAGTATATCTTTTAAGGTATATAAAAGCATGCAAATATGTAACTCATGGAAAGAGGGAGTCCAAAGGCACAGAGGAGACATCAGTGACATCAGCTTTAAAACAGATTTGCAAAGGGTGGTGACACTGGAGATGATCAGTCCTGCAGTGGGAGGGGCTTCTGAGGACTCCCCAGGAGTTCTGCGGTTAGGTTTCTCAGGAAGAATGAAATGTTGACGCCAAAACAAAGTTGACCGCTCACACAAACTAACAAATTTCGCAGTTCTTACTGACATAAGATAGTCCTACATGGCAGTCTGGCAAGGATTCTTAGGGTCAAAGGTCATGATCTCCATGTGGATGAGACCTGATCGGGGAGAAAAAAAATGGAGAGCAGCTTTTAAAATTCTGCTGTAAAAATATCCACACCAAATGCATCTTTGGCATGATTCAAGATTCAAACGGACATAAGTCCAGCAGCCATACTCACTTTTCCATTCGCCGACATCGAGCTCCATGTTCTCAAAGGAGTCGTCATAAGGACCCGAGTCCGGTTCACTTCCTGGGTCATGGTATTCATCCAGAAACGGGTGGGACAGGCACTGTTTGGCCGTCAGCCTCTTCTCTGGGTCCAGCAGTAACATCCCCTCCAGAAGATTTACAGCTGGAAGCATCAAAACCCAAAAGCACCACTTAGTTTTTGTGCCGTTCTGACAGAAAACTATTTCTTTTCAAAACGCACCGTTTGCATCCATCGTCTCAAACACTTGCTTGAAATTCTTCTTTCTTTGTGGAGGGAGACCTTTCACGTACGTTTGGGCCTGAAAAAAATAAGGGTTCCACTTATTATTATGAGGATGGAAAATGAACAAGTTACAGCATTTCTGTGATATATCAGAGCGCTAACTGGTAATGAATAAAGCATGCAGGCTGGAGGAACCTCACATCTTTACTCTGCATCTTCTGCACCAGGGAGGAGTCTGGTGTTCCTGTCAGGTGGAGGATCTTCTGCAGCTGATCAATACCTGAACACGCCGGTTAAGGAAACATGGCGAACACCAGGATGTCGTTTCAAATGCACAGTGCAATGTTTCGCATTTTTATTCAAGATGGAACAAAGTAAACATATCAAATGTAGGATTTGTGAAGATATCTGAGCCCATGCAGAAACGTCCACAGGGTCAGACCTGGTTTTATTTAATGCAGAGGGCCCCCGAGGGTCCGAAGATCACAATCATCAAGTAACTCTCAGCTTTGCTTTTAAAGCTTAAAGATTTCTTCAGATTCTAGAAATCTTTTTGATATTTCAAGCCTTTCTTCTACCTATCATCCAAAATAAAAAGGAATTATGAATGCAATCGACACTATTTTTTCCACAACGCAACTGAAGCGAGGGGAGCGCAGCTGTCCCAGTGGAATGGTGGCGGCTGGTCGGGTCGCTGGTTCTTGGGGTTGGAACCTTATCTGTTTGGCGCCGCTTTCCACTGAAGATGTGAAGATTTGTACATATTTGGATTAATGATAAATGGATTCCTGCTGATAGGCTGTGGAGGAGTTCTGGCTTATTGGAAAATGAAAGCGATTCTGACAGCAGTCCGGGCCTGTGAGAAGCTGTCAGGAACCTTGGACGGAATCTGCCGTACTGGAAACGCACAGACTCAGATGCTGGGGGATATAAGTCGCAAAGTGGACGTGATTCTGACGAGAATCGCAGTTCAGCAGCGTGCCCGTGAAGAGTAGGATTACACCTGGGTGAAGTTTCAGACAGAAAGAGGTGATGAAATTTGGAACATTCAGCATTTTTTCGCCATTACAGAAATGCAGTTAAGACTGTAAAGCAGCAAGAAATTCAAGGCTGTTTGTCCCAAAACAATTATGTTTATCTTTCGGATCCCTGCAGCTGCTGACCTTAGCGCTCGGCAGTTAATAAAACTTCTCTGGATGACATGAGAACAAAGGTTTGTTCCCCCATTCCCTCCCCCGTATCATCCATGGGTGGACCAGTCCGAAGGCCACGGTGGTGGTGACAGAAAACTGACTGATGAACTGAACTTGGGTTGATACCAAACGGTTTTGTACTCTGTAGGTCTCTGATTGGTTCCAGCACAGAGTATTAACCTGAAACATCAACGGCTCTGCTGCATCCCACCCCACCATCTGTTTGACCCCCCCCCCCCCAGCTGCCTTGCACTGAGCGAGTGGTTTTTTTTTTTTTAGCATATGCTTCTGTGTTTATGTGTAAACATAGGATTGGAGCATCTTTTTTTTTAACTCATCTTTCCTATTGTGTGTATTCCAAGTTGCAAAAGGTAGTGCGACCATGTTGCGAAAGACCTGGGCATCTGTTCTCCACGATGTTTGTTATGTATGTGTAATAAGAATGGGTGTTCTTAACTGCAAGTTCCTAGTCTGTGTATTCACTGACAATGGCAATAAAACTGATTCTGATTTTTCCCACAGGTCTTTTTATTTCCCTGTGTTGTTTTTACATTACCTTATGCATTTCTGCCTCATTATGTAAATAAGATGGGCAGAGCTTCTTGGGTCAGCTCCTCTCCTATTGGTCAACAGACAGGAAGGAGCAGGAGCCATGTGCAGATCGACTGTGCATGCTTGTGCTACCTCAGCTTAGCTTAAATTATAGGTTTAGCTTAAAACAGGAGTGAGAAACTAGCAGCCCGTGGGCCATGTGGCCCTCTAGTGACTTCTGTCCAGCCCACCAAAAGAAAAATATTATTTTACATTTTTTAATTTAAAAAAAGCATCAAAGTAGCTCTTTGATGAGTCATCAATGTCAATTTAATTATAAAACATGAGGTAAAGTTCTCCTTTTATAATTTAATTGGTGCATTTTAAGTGTATTCAATTATTTTTGGTGCTTTTACATATTTCTGCTTTTACGTCACATTATGTCAGTTTTGTTCCTCCATACTTATGAACCCCTGGTCATCCTTTCTTCTAAGGGATTCAGCCTATCTAAAACACTTTTTATGCCCAGTTTTGTTATTAATGGGTCTTAAAATGTGGATACTGTCATGTCCTGGGAAAAGCACCTGACCTGTGATCATTTCAGCCAGAATGCAAGCGGCTGACCAAACATCCACTGTAAGACAAACAGGAGGAGAATTTTGTTAATAAAAGCACATTGAAATGTTGTGTTCAGGATTACAGGCGTAACGTTGGTACCTGTCTGACTGTAGTGCATCCAGTTGAAAATGACCTCTGGTGCTCTGTACCAACGTGTCACAACATAACCCGTCATCTCACTCTCTGTTTGCCTTGCCAAACCAAAATCCAGAATCTGAGGAAAATTGCAGTGTTGAAACATGTGATATGCATTCCTTTACTGCATTTTATCAAATTTTTTTATTGCTTTCAAGTGCAGACACGAGAGACAAAATGCTGAGTTTACCGTATTTACCTTTAAATCACAGTTCTCACTCACAGCAAGGTTACCAGGCTTCAGATCCTGAGACACAAAGCCACATTTTTGAGCTTAAACAACAACAAATGCTTTTGTTTTACTTTTTTGCTGGATGTGACACAAATCACTGATGAGTGTGTGGTGTGGTGTTAAATGATGTACAAACCCGATGAATGATCCCTGCAGAGTGGATGTACTGCAGAAAAGAAGACAGATTTCAGTGCAGAATGAAACAACAGGAGATAAGACACTCCTACTGCTTTATGGCAGTCACACACTGTAAATAAACAACCCCAGCTACAAGTGATTGTCAGCAATATTTTGCACATTTTCCAGTTGAGTACACTTGGAAAAAAGTCATGCAACAAACGTAAACATCTTAAAACAATTGCTGCCAGTTCAAACACATGATATTTATGTAAAGCTTGCCAAGTTTTCCTGTTTGAGTCGTGCTTTTCGTTTCATTTCCTCTGAGAACTGTTGGTTATATACTGACTAATAGTGGCTGGAAAGAATAAATAAGGGTGAGGCAGTGAGACATCCAGGACGTGTACTTTTTAAACTTCTCTAACCTTTTTTAAGCACTCTCAGACTTTAGTTCATAGAAGGGAAATTGAATTTATTGGTCCTTAAAATGTGGGGTTAAGTATCAGAAGAAAACACCCAACAAGCTGCCTCCGTATGCCTCGTCTTTGTTGTTTCAAACCCCTGATTTTCAGATGACCTCACCTGTGAACCAACTGGTTAAAACATGTCCACCAGGTGTGCAAATGAGTGTCTAACTGAAAACACACATGTCACTTACAAACCCAATTCCAAAACTGTTGGAATGCTGTGTCAAAAATTGAAAAAAAAAAGTTGTTCTAGGGAGATTTACTAAATAAAGCATCTCTTCTTCTGAACAACAACCAGCTGATGGAGATCCCTGAGATTTAAAATTGTTCAGTGAGCAGTTAAGCTTTACAGGAAATCATTGTTTCTGTGGCTTTTTAACTAAAACGTGGTATGAGGGCCAAAATTATTGTGCAACCAGTGGTTGCTACAGCCTTGTAGCAGGAGACAATATCTATTCCTAAGCCAGCTATTGATCTGATAGGCCGGCACCAATAACTGAGCAACTGGAACTGGTAACTGAGAAGCCAGCACTGGCGTTAGCATTGGAGAGGCTAGCAACTAGCACGGATAAGCTGGCGTTAGCATTGTAGAGGCTAGCAACTAGCACGGATAAGCTGGCGTTAGCATCGGAGAGGATAGCGACTAGCATGGATAAGCTGGCATTAGCAATGGAGTTGCTAACCTCGCCAATGCTAACTCAAATGAATAGTCTCCTTCTCATTTGCCAGCGCCGGCCTCTCAGTTACCGGTGCCAACCTGTCGTTAATCAGATCAATAGCTGGCTAATGAACAGAGATCATTTTGGCCCTCATAGCGTGCCATATTTAACATCTTTTCTGCTCTGATTTTGTGCAGGACCTTTATAGGCCTACCAAGAAACAGCTACGTGGTTCTTGGAAGGCAATGTTTGTTTTTATTCTATTTTATGCATGTTTGATCTTGCCCTGCAGCCATCTTTTGTTAAAGAGACTCAGTTAGAACTTGTTACATGTTGAACTTGAGAAAAGAAGCCATTCCTGGTCAGATTACAGTTCAGATATTTAGAGCTTGAAAAAAATTGTTTGTTTTTCCCAGAATCAGGACAAATGCAGTCATGATACTGAGAAAGTTTTTAAAAGGAGTTCATCACTTTGGCTAAAAAGTTCTTTGCTTAAACCTACACACTGTCTGCCTTAAGTGGGTTCAGATTTAAACTAAGATGCTGAACAATGTACTCTGTCATCTGGTCCGCCCCACCACCCTTATTTTCATTGTTTCAGGGAACATGTGGGTCCCAAACCAGCACAGAGGCATAATCTTTTTTATCATGACCTGAGCTGGGAAAGCTCACACTCTGTATTTTCCTACCTTCAGTTATTATGTTTTAGTATAAGTCTCAGAATCTCTCACCTTCAGGCCTCTCATAAGCTGGTAAAAGAGGTATGTGATGATGCGATCGCTGAGCCTCTTCTTCTTCATGATGTGGCTCAAGTCTTGGGCTACAAACGGCATCACCAAGTAACTGAAGATAGGCAAAACACCATGCTAATAAACATGTCACTATAATGTATTTCCTGAAATTTACTGAAGAAATTGAGTTGGTAAAGTTGGGGAAAAAAGCAGAAGATTAGCAAAAATACAAAGGCAGCAAAATGCTAAAAAATAGAAAAGATATGTTGAATCAAGAAGCAATAATAAAATTAAAAACAGCAAAGCACAGAATCTCAGCTGCGACACCAAGTCGAAGAACGTCGATCTCGGCTTACAAGGTTTGGAATTTCTCCAGCGTTGAGTCGGGCGTGAAGACATCGAGAAGGCAGATCACCTTTAAAACAAGTTTTACATTTCAATCAAATACTTCATTATGAAAAGTGGGAAATAATTCAACTGTGTTTGTTTTGTATTATCTGTTAAAATAACCACTTTATAGAAAGTCTCATAAAGTAGAAAAGCTGATTCAAGATGGCTGCCACAGTCAACAGATACAAAAATGGCTGACACATATCGAGCTAATATTTGGTATCCGTCCGTCCGTCAGTTTTCTTCCGCTTATCCGGGGTTGGTTTGTGGGGGCAGCAGCCTAAGCAGAGAGACCCAGACTTCCCTCTCCCCAGCCACTTGGGCCAGCTCCTCTGGGGGAATCCCAAGGTGTTCCCAGGCCAGCCAAGAGACATAGTCCCTCCAGCGTGTCCTGGGTCTTCCTCTGGGCCTCCTCCCAGTGGGACGTGCCCAGAACACCTCACCAGGGAGGCGTCCAGGAGGCATCCTAACCAGATGAACCACCTCAACTGGCTCCTCTCGATGTGGAGGAGCAGCGGCTCTACTCTGAGTCCCTCCTGGATGACTGATCTTCTCAGCCTACCTCTAAGGGAGAGCCCAGACACCCTGCRGAGGAAACTCATTTCAGCCGCTTGAATCCGCGATCTCATTCTTTCGGTCACTACCCAAAGCTTCTGACCAAAGATGAGGGTAGGAATGTAGATCGACCGGTAAATCGAGAGCTTTACCTTCTGGCTCAGCTCCTGCTTCATCACGACAGACCGGTACAGCTCCCGCATCACTGCAGATGCAGCACCAATCCACCTGTCAATCTCCCGCTCCATTCTTCCCTCATTCATGAACAAGACCCGGAGATACTTAAACTCCTCCACTTAGGGCAGGACCTCCTCCCTGACCCGGAGAAGGCACTCTGCCCTTTTCCGGCTCAAGACCATGGCCTCGGATTTGGAGGCACTGATCCTCATCCCAACCGCTTCACACTCAGCTGTGATCCGCTCCAGCGAGAGCTGGAGATCATGATCTGATGAAGCCAATAGGACATCATCTGCAAAAAGCAGAGATGTGATCCTAAGGCCACCAAAACAGATCCCTTCAACACCTTGGCTGCGCCAGAATCGGTGACAAAGGGCAACCTTGGCAGAGTCCAACTCTCACCGGAAACTAGTCCATCTTACTACCGGCAATGCGGACCAAGCTCAGGCTCCTTCCCCACCAGAGAGGTGACATTCCACGTCCCTAGTGCCAGCTTCTGTAGCCGAGGATCAGACCGCCAAGCTCCTCGCCTTTGACCACTGCCCAACACACAATGCACTCGACCCCTACGGCCCCTCCCACATATTTGGTATCATTGTGGTAAAAAGTGCTCACGGCAGAAGGTTCCAATGTATTTGATTCTCACATTTTCATGCTGTATGTGGCGAAGAAGGCGGAGCTCCCTGTACGCCCGCTTTGCAAGGATGAGAGACTGAAACGGCCGGTACAGCTTCTTGATGGCCACCTTCTCTTTGGTCCTCTGGTCGATGGCAGAGCTAAAAGAGATCCAACACGTGATTAAATCACAGCTTATTGACAGGACACACAGCGGCTAATGTGACTCTTGTTACAGTAAAGAGTGTCCGAAATTAAGATTTCAAAATAAGAGTTATGGGAAAACAGGGGTTGACTTGTCACTCTCAGACTGGAGATTTATTTGTGATTCCTATAGGTTTCATTTATCAAGCACTTCACTATTAACACACTTTTTTTTTTTTTTTTGCTTTTCTTCCCATAGAAACACAGAGACCAATCCTTCTGTGCTCCTTCCCTGTCCTCTCAAACCCTAGCTGGTTGATGGCCGCCCATGGTTCTTTTGCGCCAAACATAGATTTGAAATTTGACACCTTTTACTAATTGGCATAGAATAGTTAGCTTAGTTTATGATGGTATCACTGATAACATGTTCTTTCAGTGGTTCTCATTAAACTGAAGTGTTGCCCAGACATCCTGGATTCCTGCTCTTCTTTCATGATGGTGGTGAAGATTCTTGTCATTTTGCAGGACCTGTGTTGACTTGCTGACTTGCCTCAGGCAAAAAGTATCTTAGCAGACATGTTGAGCCTCTTGCTTCGCCTGCTACATATTCCTGCACTGGAAGGCTCAATTTTATCCACACAGCCTATAAAATAATATTTTGTATTGTCAATAAACTTAACATTGTAGCTTCTAGTCAAGCCTGAACAGCAATTTGTTCATTATGAATCACAACTGTATACATTTTGGATTTTATGCGTCCTAAACTAAGACAGGTTTATTTATGTTTTTATTTTATTTATTTATTTATTTATTTTTTAACCATAGACTTAAATAGTGTTTATGGGATGTAAGAGAATAAAAACAGGTTTGTAATTAAAAGATAAAATCTACATATTTATATTTTGAAAGTTGCCGAAGTGAGAATAATCTGCGGTACTTTCCTCGCAGGTTTAGCCGACGTCCAGCGCTCCCTGCCCAGGTAAACTCACCACACAGTCCCGTAGGCTCCAGAGCCGATCGGCTTCAGCGTCACGTATCTGTCCGGGACGTCCCACGTCGTCTTCTGGATCTCCAGTCTGTGATAACCCGGTCTGACGGGAGAGTCTTTCATCGGAGACTGCATGTTTTATTTCAGTTTGCTGTGGGAGTTTTTATTTTTATTTTTATTTATTCTTTTTAACCAAACGAGTTCTTGTGACAGCTGCTTTTCTACCTGACAGGTGAGCTCCAGCGCCGAAGGTAAGAGCTGTGGAGCCACGCCCCCGTTCCCTCACCGCCTGCCTCCTTCTTTTTGTAGATTTATTTTTTACAACAGACTGAAGTGGTATGGAAGCCATTTCACCCTCTGACCCCTAAAAAAGCCCCTCTTAGTCATTAATATTATACAATTTTAAGATATCTGAGAATTATTTCATAATTTTATTTGTTTTATTATAAAGTTTATTCATTTAAAACAAAACAACATAAATTCAATATTAAATAAAAATACAAATCATGAACCAAATGAAAGGCAGCAGCAGAAGAAAACAATCTTGTGATTTCTGCCCCTTTTTCTCAAATAAATAAATTCAATCAAAAATAATCTTCAATTTACAAAAACGTACAAAGGATAAAAGAAAAACAATGAAGGTTTTATTCCTTCTTGAGCAACAATTCGTACATTATACCCATACATATTTCTCCAACAAATTAAACTTTATCATTCTCTTAAATATACACAGTTTTTACGTCATCTCCCAGCTTATTCCATAAATTAATTCCAGTACTCTGTTCCCTCAAACTGGTTCTAATTTTAGGTCTCACAAACATTTCTATGCCCTTCAGATTGCAGCTCTCTCTTTTGGATGTTTGTACATTTTTATGGGCCATAACTGACAAAATATATTCAACCAAATCAGAGAATTTCTATAACTTCAACTGATGGAACAATGAATTTGATGGGTGACTAAAGTTTTCTGGTAATAATTCTTATTTATAGCTCTTTTCTGTAAAAAATTAAAACAGGATTTGGTATTATTTTACATGCTTTTCCCCAAACATCAACATAATATATTATGTGTGGAACAATTATTGCATACAACATAAACAGTGCTTTATCATTAAATAAGTCCTTACTTTGCACAATATTGCAATGGATTTGGCTATTTTGTTCTTAAATGATTTATGTGAGGTCTCCATGTCAGTTTTTCATCAATGATGACACCCAGAAACTTCACCTCACTGACTCTACAGATCTCAATACCATCAATTCTAAATGGAACATCAACAGTTTTCTTTCTACTAAATATCAAATAATTAGTCTTATCTAAATTTAATGATAATTTATTAAGTTTAAACCTGATGTGCATTTTAGCAAATTCTGTTTGCATCATTACCAACATCCGTTCTATATTTTTTACCAAAACAAAAATAATCTGCAAATGAAACACATTTGAACAAGTCTGACACATTTACTAAATCATTCACATATAAAATAAACGACTTAGGTTCAAGTACAGAACCTTGAGGAACTCCACATGTGATATTACTCAATTCAGATCTTGCATCATTTATTTGTACAAACTATCCTTTAAATGACTAGACACCCACTGTAGTGCTGGTCCTCTAATACCATATTTGTTCAATTTTTCAAGAAGAATACTGTAGTTAGTCATGTCAAAAGCTTTCTTCAAGTCAACATAAATACTAGCACAGTATTGTTTTTGATCAACAGCAGTTTTTATTTTAAGTTAGTTTAATTTTAAATCACAAAAATGAAACAATAGTTCATACTTAGTAATTATTACATCTTAATTAAAACTTATTTCTTATAAAAATCTTTTTTGAAATGTTTATTTTATAAAATAGCTGGTATGATTATTCATTTATTTATTTATTTGTATTTTTACACCCCCTATTGCCACTGTTGGCTTTTTTAACCAGGCTGCAGTTGTTCCAAATATGTTGTACCT